CCCCCCATCCCCTCACCTGCAGCCCCTCACCTGCATCCCCTCACCCCCATCCCTCACCTGCAGCCCCGCCCCGCTGCCAATCACCCCGCGGGGTATTTAACTGGGGCGCCGCCCCGCACTCCCAGTCTCACCAGTGCCGGCCGCGGAGGAGGCAGGTAAGGCTGGGCTGGGCAAGGTGTGGGAGCTGGGGGGGTTCTGTGGCTTGTCCGGGGGCTCGGGGTGGCTCCCCAGGGCTGGCCCCTGGCTGGGGGTCCCTGCTGGAGGAGCCGGCTGTGCCCTCTGGAGAGCAGGAGCTGGAAGCTGAGGGTCTCGGGGATTGGAACCAGGTGATCTTTAAGGTCCTTTCTAACCAAATCCATGGTGGGATTCAAACTCTTCTCTAAAGGCTCCTTCCCAGCTTTGAGATGGCTCCTTGGTAATTCCATGGATCTCTGACCTGCCATTGAGCAGTTTGGGATTTAAAATCTCCTTTCTGCTTCTTGTCTGCTGAGGATCCTGGCTGGGGGATCCACAGGAGGTGACTCCCAGCAGTCACCTTCACCTGCCCGGCCCAGCCTGGTGTTTGGGGACGGTGGGGACCAGATGGATCCTCCAGGGCAGGGGACACCCCGGGGCCAGGTGGGGCAGGTGACCAGCCGGGCATTCCCTTCCTGTGACAGCCCTGCCCGGGGTTGTTTCTCGTGATCCTTTGGTGGAAGCACGAGAAGCGAGTGTGACAAGAGAGCTCTTGCTCAGGAGCACCCTGTCCCTGCAGGGCTCTGCCAGCTCCCAGAGGGAGCTCTGGCAAACTGGATTAGTATTTCTCAAGACTAACAAGGCTTGAAATGTGGTCATGACTACCCTGAGCTGTGCATGGCTGGGAAGGATTTCAGTTTCTGAAGCTGGTTCTGCTGAAAATTCTGGATGGAAATGTGCTGAGCTGCTTGCTCTGCAAGTCACAGCTTCCAGGTGAAACCAAGAGCTCTGTCCTCGTGGAAAGACTGAGAACTACTGAGAAGCTGTTTTAGTTAAAACTTCCTTTCCTCTTTTCTAGAACATCTCTGTTCAAGCAGTTACTGCCCCAGTGGTGGCCACTGGTTGTGGTGTTTAACTTCTGCTGGAGGTGGGTGGGAGCCCTGCATCCATCAGCAAGGGTGGCTTTGATCTTTGAGGTGTCCTAGTGCTGCTGGTTAATCCAGAAAGGTGAGATGGGCACCTCTGCCAGCCCTCCTGAAACTACTGCCCTCAGGTCAAAGCTGGCAATCATTTGATCTTCCTCCTAAAACTAATTCTGTCCTCAGGGCATCTGCAGCCCATTCCTTACAGGCATCCCATGACCCACTTCAGCATTTTTGGGAACTGGGTATCAGTGGCAAATCTCGAAAAGAATGCAAATGGGTGCTTTAACCACAATTGGATTCCTCTGCCCTGATTAGCCCTCCCTGCTCACATCTAAAGCACTAAACTTAGCTTTGTTCTCCTCAATGGTCATTAAGGAATTGCCAGTGAAGCCTCTGAACCAGCCATGCTGGCTGTGGCTCTGACTCCCAGGGTAAAACCCCTTGGAAGGGAGAGAAGCTTCCTGAACATGAAGATCCTTCAGGACCACACACCAGCAGCCTGTTCTCATGGAGCTGAGCTGCTCCCCACAGCAAAACCTTCCAGCCAAGGGGAGTAAAGAACCAGCTTCATGTGCCCTGGTCACTGCCAGTGACAGAATTCAGGGAGATGCTGATCTCCAGTGACAGAACCAGGGGAGTTCCTGGCTCTTCTGCCAGTGAGGGATGAGGCAGGGAGCAGCTGGGTGGGTCTGGTACCTCTGTCCTGCTGTTTGGTGCCAGCCTTTGCTCCTTCACTGGCTGGCAATGACCAGAAGTTCAGCTCCTGATCCCAGAAAATCTCTTGACCTTGATGCTAGAAAAGAGCACTGAAGTTTCATTGTTCTGAAACCATCTGTCTCAAGAGCTTTCTCCAGCAGTGACCTAATATTTCACATTTAGCAATGGTGTGGAATCATCTGATCATCACTTTCATACAACAAACCACAACCAAAACAAAGTGGTGCTGTTTCTGTTCCTCTTCCCACTGGGATTTCCACTCCCAACCATCCTGGCTTGGCTGCGGCTTCTCCAAAGGATTCAGAACCACCTGACCCAGAGTTGCCAAGCACTGGGCTTTCCTGCAATCTCTGAAGTAAAGCAAGGGCTGCTCAGCACTTCTGCAAGGGAAAGAGAAAATAAAACCACGCTGTGGATATCTGCCCACACTGCAAATCTGGGCATTGCAAAACATGGATTTCTCCTACACAGCAGAGAACAAACCTTGTTCCAACATGAGTGTGCTGAAGGATGGTCCCTGGCAGGCCCCAGCCATAATTAACATGGGATCCCTGTACTTCAGAGGCTGATCTAACCTTACACCCGTTTTTAAATCAGCCAAGGAGTTACTCCTGAATTATTCTAACATGAATCCTCCTCTGTTCCTTTTGCTGCAGTGTCTCAGTGCTGGCCCTGACACCAAGGCCACCACAGTGTCAAACTCCACAGTTTGAGCTTTTTCCACCTGGCCAGGAGTAAAATAGCTGAGCAAAAGGGGTTGTTTGTGATTGTGTTGAAAGAGCTGTGCTTTGCCCCTAAGTCAGCCCTGCTTGGCTCCAAGGCAATGACAGACCTGCCTGAGGGAGAGGGACAGCACTGACAGCAAACCTCGTGGACTTTGGGACTCGGATTTTATATTCAGCCTTGCTTTGTTTGGAGCAGTTTTTACAACTCCCCCCAGCCTGGTGAGGATCCATTGGTGTTTTTGCTGTGCAGATAAACTGGGGAGGGCTCCCAGATGAGCTCCCAGGAGAGGCTGGAGGTGACAACCTGTGTGACAGGTTTTGCTATAGGCATGTGGCACTCGGCATCCCTGCCCTGCTCAAATCTCACTGAATTCTGACTAATTCAGTGGTTAATGCAGCAATATTTGGTGTTTTGCCAAGTCACCTCCTGGGATGTCCTTGGCCAGTGTCAGAGCCCAGTCCAGGGCTCACAAATGCTGGTTTCACTACTCTCCATCTCTCTGTTCCTGTTTCTCACCAAAATAAAAACCTTCCACAAAGCAAAGGACACAACAAAGAATACAATGGGCTCCACCACAACTCAGATGGGGAGTTCTTTCGGGAAGACTCTGCCAGTGAGCTTGGAGCAGTTTGGGAAGAATCTTGGTTTGAGTTTTTTCCACTGGAAAATGTCATAGCAAATCTAAGAATAGGAATTGACTGGCAAAGGAGAGAAAAGCAGACTCTGTCCTGAAGAACAAATGTGCTGAAATCCTGCTGTGCCTAAGGCTCAGAGTAATCCTGGGTTTATCAGCAATACAGGAGTGTCCAGATGCCTCAGGAGATCTGTGCTGGGGAACCAATACCCATTTGGATTATTGCAACAGTGTACACTTCTGCAGTCCCATTATGTCATGAGAATGTCTCTGAGCCCTGGTGCCACAGGAAGTGAGATTTCCTGCCTTGCTGCCCAGTAGGATGGGAGGACAAGTCTCCAGGTAGCCATGGAATGCTGCAGCTGGGAAACATGGCTCATCCTCCAGTGAAAACTCCACGGGATTTTTCATGTTCTTTCACAAACTGGTTATATTGTTATATTTTCTCTCCCCTCTCCAGCTGAGGAGGGGGTGATGGAGTGGTTTTGGTGGGTACCTGGTGTGCAGGGTCATCCCACCCCACAGAGAAAACACAAGACAGATAAAACAGTTCTCACCCATTTCTAACCTGAACCTTCCTGGGAGCAGCTGAATGTCAGATCCCAGCTTTGTTGCCCTCTGCTTTTCCCCTGTTTTGGCAGGATTTTATTTCTTTGGAGGCAATGAAGTTGTGCTCATGATGCTCTTGTTTTCCTTCCAGCTGCAGCTGAAGTCAGTATGGCCTCAGGAAAGACCCCAACCCCAGAGCTGCTGAAGGCTGAGGAGCAGCAGAGTGTGGTAGGTGCCAGGGCACACACTGCAGTTAAATCACCCACTGACATGGTGCTGCTGAACCTCTGCCAGCGCCCCAAAGCCAGGCTGGGGGGACAAAGATTAGCCCTTTTTAGCTGTGGTCAAATCAAAACCCCCTCAGTTCAGAAGGTAATTGTTTTGCTCAGGAGACAACTGCAGGGCTGTGAAGTGAAGGAAGTAGTTCTGAAACAGGAGCAATTACAGGTCCTACTTCCACATCTGGTTTGGTGCTGAAACCAGTGTGACTCAGAATTCATGAACACAAAGTTCAGACTTCTTAACCCCGGCTTGTTCACTTGGTGGAGGCCTTTGGATGAGTCTCCTCAGCTCTGAGCTGAAGAGGGATGGATTTGCTGGGACCTTTCTGGACACATGGCTGTGTTCACCCACCAGCTCAGGCTGGGCTCTAATGTCACCATTTCTCTTGGGTTTAGAGCGCTGTCAATCGAGTCACCAGCCTGCCCTTGCTCAGTTCTGCCTTCAACCTGGTCTCCTCTGCCTACAACCAGACCAAGGAGTCCCACCCCTGCCTCAGTGGGGTCTGCAGCGTGGCTGAGACCGTGGCTGCAGTGGCTGTGGGCAGCGTGGTCGGAGGGGCACAGCCCATCCTGAGCCAGCTCGAGCCACAGAGTAAGTGCAGGGCTGGGGGGACCCTTGGACAGAGGGAGGGGAGGTTCGTGTGCCTGGAGGGGGATCCCACCCCCAGCAGCACCTTCTCCTCCATCCCTGAGCCTCCACTCAGCAGCTCCCCGACACTGAACTGCCTGGGAATGAAACTGTTCCCAGGAGAACCAAAGTTTCATTTCTTTCTGTTACCATGTAGTAACTCCCTGCTCGCTTGCTCTCACTCCAAGTTCTGACCATCCCAAGTGGGAGCTGTGTCAGTCTGGGACAGGGCTCAGTCTGCCTTATCCCAACACTTTTTAACCCTTTAAACCCAATTCACCACTCACCAAGGGTAGCTGCTACACTGCAATTGGATCAAAGTCTAGTTAGAAAGCTGGGAAGGCAAAATGGAGACTATTTGAACCTGCCAAATTTTAGTGTTTGTTCACTTTTATCAAGACATCCCACCCCAGAATGATGATTTATTTGAAGGGGGCCTTGTTTTCATGAGTGTATGCTGAACTGGCCATTGCAGGGTTAAAAACCCATTCCCAAATGTAAGAATAAACTGGTTTACTCCTGTTGTCTCTTCCAGTCGCCCTTGTGAATGAATATGCCTGTAAAGGTCTGGATCAGCTGGAGGAGAACTTGCCCTTCCTGCAGCAGCCAGCAGACAAGGTAAGGAAAGGCTGTTCCTGGGGAAGCCATGGCTCCATGGAAGTGTTTTGGGTACACAGGAATATGGGGAAATGAATAAAGCTCAGCAGCAGGGAAAGCTACAGAGGTGCCCTCAGCATGCAGGAGTGAACACTGACCATGTCCATGCCAGTTTGGGTGTGCTCACCTCCCCAGCCCTCCCACAGACTGCAGGCACAACTAACCCGAGGGGAAAAGCTTTTTCAGGGAGGGAAAACACATTCTGGAACAACAACAAAAATCTCTCTCTGCCTCTCCCTGGTGCAGGTAATCTCAGACACCAAGCAGCTGGTGTCCACCAAGGTGACATCTGCTATGGACGCTGCCTGCGAGGCCAAAGAAGCGGTGGCTGATAAAGTCACTGAAGCTGTGGACCTCACTAAAAGTGTTGTTGGGGACAGTGTCAAGCTGACCAGGTCTGTGGTCACCTCTACTGTCAGCAGCGCTGTGGAGGCTGCCCAGGGTGCCAAGGAGCTGGTGACCAGCAAGGTGACAGAGGCTGTGGATGTCACCAAGCACATGGTGGAGGACAGCGTTGACAGGACCAAGTTTGCAGTTGCCTCTACGATTGTCAATGCTGTAGAGGCTGCTCAAGGGGCCAAGGAGCTGGTGACCAACAAGGTGACAGAGACTGTGGACCTCAGTAAGCACCTTGTGGAGGACAGCGTTGACAGGACCAAGTCTGCTGTGACTTCCACCATCACTGCAGCTGTGGGGGCTGCCCAGGGGGCCAAGGACATGGTGGCCAACAAGGTGACCGATGCTGTGGACAAGGTCACCAAAGCCGTGGATGTCACCAAGCACATGGTGGAGGACAGTGTTGACCTGACCAAGTCTGCAGTTACTTCCACGATTGTCAGCGCAGTGGAGGCTGCTCAGGGGGCCAAGGAGCTGGTGACAGACAAGGTGACCAAGGCAGTGGACCTCAGTAAACACATCGTAGAAGACAGTGTTGACCTGACCAAGTCTGCAGTTGCCTCTACAATTGTCAGCGCTGTGGAGGCTGCCCAGGGTGCCAAGGAGCTGGTGACCAACAAGGTGACAGAGGCTGTGGATGTCACCAAGCACATGGTGGAGGACAGCGTTGACAGAACCAAGTCTGCTGTTGCTTCCACCATCACTGCAGCTGTGGGGGCTGCCCAGGGGGCCAAGGACCTGGTGGCCAACAAGGTGACCGAAGCAGTGGACCTGACCAAAGGGGCTGTTCAAGACAGCGTTGAGAAGACCAAATCCGTGGTCACCTCTACGGTTGGTACAGCTCTGGATGCTGCCTATGGCACCATCACCAGCAAGATCAACACAGCCCTAGAGCAGGGCAGGGAGGCTCTCCAGGGGGGTGTGGAGATGACCAACTCAGTGGTCACCAGCAGCATAAGCAAAGCCAAGGCAGTGAGCCAGGCAGTGGCTGGAGGTGTGGAATCTGTCCTGGGAATGTCAGAAGATCTGGTGGATCATTACCTCCCGATGACTGAGGAGGAACTAGGTAAGAAAATACTTACCCGGCGCTTGTAGACGCAAGTCCTTTCCCACCTGAGTAGAGAGCACCTGACACAGCAAGACTCAGCTTCTGAAGCAGACAGGTAGCTCTGAATTTATCACCAAGTTGCTGGCTGTCAACACCAAACTGCCGTATGGTATGGACAGAGTTCAAGCATTTGCTGGCTGTTCCTTACCCATCAGCCTGAAAGTAAATAACCACGTGGGTTCACGCTTCAAGCCCTCCAAGTCTGCTTACCTGAAGATTGAGCAGGGACTAACCTGCCTTTGACACATGAATGACTAAAAACCTCCTGCTCCCACAGCAAGCTTCAGCCTTTGTGTTTTCCAATGGGTGACTCAACCTCTTCCACCCCTCTGAGCTGGCAGTGGAGCCCAGCTGCAGCTCTGTTCTTGTTTCCTCCAGGTAAACTGGCCACCACGGTGCAGGGGTTTGGCGTGGCCTCCGTGGAGGAGCAGAAGAGGCAGAGGAGTTACTTTGTGCGCCTGGGCTCGCTGTCGGGCAGGCTCCGGCACAGAGCCTACCAGCTCTCCCTGGCCAAGCTGCAGGGCTTCAGGCACCGCACCCAGGACACCCTCTCACGGCTGCAGCTGGCAATAAAACTGGTACCAACACGCTTTGCCCTTCTTCCTCCTGTCTGTAGCCCTTCCTGCCCTGCTCTCCAGCTGGAAGCTCTTCCTCCATCCTGCACCAGCTCAGTGTCACCTTGGATCCTTCCCTGGCAGGGAAGCACTCGTGCCTCTCTCTGTGTGCTCACAGTGCAACCTTTCCTCTCATTTTTCCCATCAGATTCAATCTGTGAAACAGGAGGTTGGCCAGAAGCTGCTGGAGGGACAGGAGAAGCTCCACCAGCTGTGGGTGGACTGGAGCCTGACCCAGCCCAAAGGACACCAAGTCAGAACTGCCAGCCAGCCAGAGGTATCCCCGGAAGGCGCAGAGCAGCCCCGCTCTGGGCGCTCCCCGAGCTGTAACTGAGCTGTTCTCTCCCGGCAGGTGGAGCCGCGCACTCTGGCCATGCTGCGCATCATCACCCAGCAGCTCCAGCCCAACTACGAGAGCCTCAGGCTCAGCATCCACGGCCTCCCCAGCAGCATCCAGGAAGCTGTGTCTCAGGCCACTCGACACATCCACAAGCTCCACAGCTCTTTTGCCAGGGCCGTGTCCTTCCAGGACCTCTCCAGAGCCACCCTGGCCCGGAGCCAGGACCGTGTGGCAGAGGCGCGGAGGTCCCTCGATGTCCTCCTGGAATATGTCACTCACAACACCCCTCTGAACTGGATTGTGGGGCCCTTCAGGGCCATGGCTAAAGTGGCACAGGACAGCAGAAAGCACAAGAAGAAAGAGATGAGGAGTGATAGAAAATTACCCAAGCTGGAAAAGGCTCCACTATCACAGGAGGTGACAAAGGCACCTGAAGAGCCAAGGGGAACCAACAGGCTCTCAGAAAAATGGTATGAAGTGCTAGAGAAGCTGGAGGAGAAGGCTGGGAAGGACACAGATGTGGCCCTGGCTGCCAAGGAGATAAAAACCACTGCACCAGAGGAAGATCTCTGATAAACCCCAGCTCTTCTGGCCAAGGCTACTTGGCTAGAACAGCACTGATCTTCTAATTGTGTGCCCACTTGTGCCACAAGTGCCTCTGCTCTGAATTTAGAGTCAGATGTAGTTGTAAGGAGATTTGATAGCCAAGGTGGGGAGATTCTGAATCTTGATTTACTGTTTTTAAATCCAACTGCTGTGCTGAAAGGGGAGATTGAACCTGCACTTCAGCTTTTTAACTCAGCCCAGCTGTAGCTGTGAGTGGCTGAATCTTGCTGAGACAAACTGTGGGAGAGATGTGATCTCAACTTATTTTTAATGCTGAATTTGTTTTTAATTCACCCAAGCTGTGGAACTCTTGAGAAGATGCTCTGCTTGACCTTTGATACCATCTCCCACCTTCTCCACTTTTAAAGGTACAACTTCCTTTGTGCCTGTTGTGCTTCCGGGGAGGCTCGGCCCTGCAGCACATCTGGCACAGCTGGGGGCAAGGAGCTCCTTCTCAAGAAGAGACTTCCCTTCATGGATCAGCCAAACACTTTCTCTTTCATGGAGAAGCACTCAGCAGCGTGGGGTTTTCTTTAATCACCTTTCCTAGTTCTGTGAATGACTGCAAGGATTATCTGTGAGTAACTCCATGTGTGAAACACTTCACAGCCATTAAATGAGGCAGCTTTTCCCAGGAGTTACTCTGCCATGGAATTAGGATATTCTGTTATTAAAATAGGGGGGATTTTAATCCAGGTGATGGTTCTTTCCTAGAAAACACTACGTTGTAGTAATTTCTAATGTAGCCTATTTTGGTAACTGTTCCTGGCATTGTCCCTGTGCCAGGGCTGGTGAGCAGACACTGGAATAAAGCCTGACCTGCATTCAAAGCCATGTGGGTTTGTGTGTATCTAAAACTGCAGGGTTGTGTTCTACCCTTACCTGAGCTGTGATGAAGCCTTGCCTTTAACAGATCTTGTCCCTGGCCATCTTGTCTGTTCCCTGCTCTTGCTGGAGGGGAAAAACAAAGTGCCTTTAGCAGGTCCCATGCTTTCTTAAGCAAAAAAATACCTTTATTTTTTTTCCCTGACTTCTGCCTGTACTCCTGAGGCTCAGGTGCATCTGTGCACGTACCACCACTCTTCATCCTCACCCCTAGCTCCCTCTGCCCCCCCGGATCCTGGCTCTGCAGTGCTCGTTCCTGTTCCAACAGGAAAGGTCGGTCCCTGCCTGTCCCCAGCGCTCTGCCACCTCCGGCTGCTCGTGCGGGGGACAGCGGGCAGGGCTGGCCCTGGCTGGGGAGGGTGGGGGGTGGCTCCTCCGGTCCCGGGCCCTCCTGCTCCTCCGGTCCCGGGCCCTCCTGCTCCTCCGGTCCCGGGCCCTCCTGCTCCTCCGGTCCCGGGCCCTCCTGCTCCTCCGGTCC